GTGCAAATTACTGACCTCTGTCATCATTTTAAGTGGGGGAACTTGCACAATCGGTGGCTGACTAAATACTTTTTTGCCCCACTATATATATATATATATTCACAAGGATATATCTATATATATCCTTGTGAATGATGCTGACCCAGTATTGCCCTTATATCCCCTTAAATTAGACTTTATAAAGAATGATTTAAACATGAACCATAAACCAACTATAGTTTCCTTAACTAACTTGTCTCATTCTGCCCCCACTCCTCTCCTCTTGTCCTTGAAGCCTTTTCTTTTTCCCGCCCTCCTTCCTTTGCCTTCAGTTCCATTTCAAAAAAGAAAAAAATCGAATGATGCTGACCCAGTATTGCCACTGATCTATCCAATAATGTTTGTGTGTGTGTAAAAGCTAGACAAAACACTTAAAGTGCTAGGAATAAAGAGCTGAAAGTGTGTTTAAATGATTGAGGGATAGTTAGAGCAATAATATTGTGTCATTGTTCTAACACGTAGATTTAGATTAGTTACACTTCTTCCTTCTTTCTGTTCAGTACTTCAAGAAGAAGAGACGACTTATCCCAGAGAGAACAATTTGGAAATATTTTGTGCAACTGTGCAGCGCTCTGGAGCACATGCATTCACGCAGAGTAATGCACCGTGGTAAACAACTAGTCACACTCCACTTTGCATTTTTACCATGCACATCTCATCTCCATTGCCATCATTATGTTGATGTAGTTAATCTGCTCAAACTATTCTCTCACCTCAGTTGTTGTGCATTCATATCTTCCTAAACTTCTTTCTTTTGTCAGTCAAAATTAAAATACAAGGAACTGATATGTACAGGTGTATCCAACAGTTGGGAATAATAACATGTTACATGATATTAAAATAAAAAGAATCTCTTTCCAAAGGAAAAAATAATTTGCAAAATGTTGGATCCTGTTGTTATTTGCACTTTATTCAACACGCCCAAAACAATTTTGGTATGGAGTTTGTATTTTAATACTGTGGTACTTGCCAGGTTGGAAAAGATTTAGGCCAAAAAGCAGAATCTGATTGTCAGAGAAGTTGTGATTTTTATATTGATAATGATGCTTTCCATTAAAATTAAAAAAGAAAATCACAGTAAGGTGTCAGTTTCACTGAAAATCACATTATGCTTTTTGGCCTACCTAAAGCTTTTTAAATCTGATTTTCATAGAAATTGTGATTTTGTTTTTCTATTTTAATGGGAAGTATTGTTAAATAGAAAAATAACAGCACAGACCAAACATTTCTAATATCCCCCCAAAACCAAGCAAAGTTGAATTGGTTTGTGACGTAATTACAGCAGTTTTCACTGGACGCGGTAAATGTTGGAGCTGTAGCTTGTCTGTAAACAGAAAACGGCATGGCTCTTTCTTAAAATTGAATTAGCCATAAGCCCATAAGCACACCTCTCATAGTTGCAGGAAATCAACTACTGTGTGTAGAGTGTATATAATGTCACTATATTCTTGGGTTTAGAACAGAATTGCAGTGTATTTGCAATGAATGTCGATGTGTGCATGTGTTTAAACCAGATATCAAGCCAGCCAACGTGTTTATAACAGCCACCGGTGAGGTAAAGCTGGGAGACCTTGGACTAGGACGCTTCTTCAGTTCCAAGACCACTGTAGCACATTCTTTAGGTGAAGCACACACACAACACACGTTTATGCACAATTTCTATGTTGTGCATAATTTTCTGTCAGATCAGCTGTTGATTCAGGCATGCAGATCATATAGAACACAGAATTAAATATTTTAGTGACAAAAATGGAAACTGTATAAAACAAAAATCTAAACAAAGATATCTTGGGTGTGTGGTAATAAAAAAATAAACAATTCACTGTCATGTGTGTTTTCCTACTATAAGGTGTAACACTCAAACTACTGCATAAATAGTGTTTTCATCTTTTTCATTTGTGCACAAAATGACAAGTCTGTTGTTTTCTGTGTGTCAGTGGGAACACCTTACTACATGTCACCCGAGAGAATCCATGAGAATGGCTACAATTTTAAGTCAGATATCTGGTCCCTGGGCTGTCTTCTGTATGAGGTAGGTCCAAAGACACTTTGACCTTTTCATTGTGTTTATAGTGAATGATTCAACAGAAAATGACTTTCTTACCCTGGAAAAAAGAAAACCAAGCTTGTGGTGCCCGTTGGCTGATTAGTGCTGGTGCTATACTATAAGTGAATCTACTATGAGGCGAACAGTATTTTCAACAGGTTTCAACCTCAAACCCAGAGGTGGGATCTTATAAATAAGCTTAAACGTTGTCTTTTATTTACACTTCTGCCGAGCACCCTGGCACGAGAATAGAGACCTCTCTGAACACCACAATGTTACTTGAACTCTGGTCAGGAATAATATTTCACTTGTAGGTAGTGCCAACCAAGCTAATTCATTTTTCTTCTTTCCTTATTCCATGAACCCCCTTCCTCTTTGCTCCAGATGGCTGCACTGCAGAGTCCATTTTATGGGGACAAGATGAACCTTCTGTCCCTCTGTCAGAAGATAGAGCAGTGTGATTACCCCCCTCTCCCCCCGGACCATTACTCTGATAAGGTAAAGTAATACAAAGCCATGTTTGGTTTTGATTAACTTTTTGGTTTATTATGTTGCTAGTTTTATTTTTCTGTTTGGCAAAAAAGGTGTACAGAGCCTTGCAGGGGCCATATGAAGAATACATAGGTCCTTATATTGAGTGCTTGAAAAGCTATTCCATGAAAGCTAATACAGTTTGTTTCAACATGTTAGTTCACACAAGATAAGTGAATATATGGAGAGGGAGCCTACCTTCTCCACTCGCACTGATATTGGTAAACTTGGACAGATAATCATAGATTTGACGTTCCCCGATCAATAACGCACAAGCGCAATGCTGTTGAAACAGTGGCTCATTCCAGTCGTTGCAAGTTAAAAGGTTTAGACAGCATAATGTGTGGTATTTTGCAATATAAAGAAAGTACTATATTTGCCCTTGCATTTCTTTCTGTGTCTGTGGTCTTACTGACCACAGAAAGTGATTTAGCTACAAGCCACATTTAATACATTTAGCATGACTGAACAATTCTGAGAACATGGCCTGTGGGTAAAGTGAACTCTCAAGTCCTACTTTACTACTACTTACTTTAGCTGCTTCTCTGAATGTGGTGATTTTTGTTCTGTAAAATAGCCCTGAAGCATGTGTCCTTTTGCTTACACCAATTTATGCACAGCGTAGTTTGTTTTGTTGGTTTTTTTTGTTTTTTAAAAGCTGAAATAACAGCCTCATGCTTTTTGCAGCTGCGTGACCTGGTCAGCATGTGCATCAACCCAGACCCGGACCAGAGGCCTGACATTGTCTTTGTGCTGCAGTTTGCAAAACAGATGCACATGTGGACTTCCAGCACCTGAGTGACACTTTCAAGCCCTCTTATCTGCTCAATTTGAGGCTTTCCACTTACTATGTGCCTGTCCTTGCAGAAGCAAGTTTGCCCTTACCTCATCTTAGCAGACTGTAACCTTGGAAATACTGTGATGTATCTTTTCAATCATGTAAGATGTGAAGAGGTACATGGGTATACTCACGGAAAACAAAAGTGAGAGGTAACCGTATGTCTGCCTGTTTCTTTAGCTGAGAACATAGCCAAAAGAGCTGTGTGTCCCTCTGATGACAGATTCCTCAAATAAGAGTTGCATTCCCAGTTCAACCGTGTCTTCCTGTGTAGTAGGGCTGGGCAGTTTGAATATTTGTCATGTCTTCTACTATAATCATATCATACATGTTTTTATACATTGTAAAGTACCTCATTTAGTGTTCAAAATGGACAGCTAATAAATACCTATTCTCAGAAAAAAAACAAAAGAATGCAGTTTCAGGGGAAACTGAAATTGAAGTGAAATCATAAAATAAAAATAGTTTTATGACCTGATGAAGCGTAGCTAGTTAATATTGCCTTTTACAAACAGTGGAGAGCTCAGCTAGCACTTCTGGAATATAAATATAGATAAATCTCACATAGGTTATTCTATTTAAGCTGCTTGGGCCTACATACATTTGCTGCTCGTTGCAACCCATCTCCAACTCCTTTTTTTCATCTTATTCTTATGTGAAATAATCAGTGCTTGCGTGTTGGCACTGATGCCTGATCTGTTTGTGCTGAAAACCTTTTAAGCTTTTTGTTGTGGGAAAGGCAGGGAGGTCATCCACGAATAAGGCCAGAAATTAAAAATGACTCCAAATGGAATAACAATCCTATTTTAACTGAGAAGTTCCTGACAGAACTGTGGCTGAAAGCTTAAAGAAGTAGCCAGGTTTATGGCATTATTCAATAATCACTTATAATAATGCTTTCTCATGGATGTCACATTCATTCACCTGTGGACAAGCAGCTGAGCACCCACAGTGTTTCTGTCTTTTCTGATTCAGTATATTCTCTAAGTCTATGGAAACCCTAAGAACAATTTGGGAAGTTTTCTTAAGGGCAGTTCTCCATCATGTAGTGATTTATACATTTTCCCTGCTTAAAGACCTGGTGAAGGATCAAATCCTGTTAGGGTTGCAACCAGTGTATAAATTTGTGAAATCAAATATGTGGAGCTGTCTGTTGTGCAAACCCCCTATGAATGAAGAAGCAGTCAAAAGAAGATGTTGCTTCTGACTGAGGACAGTTTGTCATGTATGTATCTAAAGGTTGCCACCAGTGGCTCAAATCTGAAAGTGAACTTACATATTCATAGAACTTTCCAATCATATGTTGGGCTTTAAAGACTGAGTTACCACTGAATTTCTTGGATCAAGCCTTGTGAAGTCAAATGTGGCCGTATTTTAATTTTATGAGTTGGGAAATCATGTTGTGTCCACCTTATAAATCTCACTTTACTCTCCTTTTATCTGTGCTTTGGTTTCCACAGGTTTCAAAAAGAGACATTTGAAGCTGTTTCAGTTCTCCACTGTGTTCACATGCTGGTCTGTTATCCTCAGCGTCTTAAAGCCTGTTACTTACAAGTAAAGTTCTGTCAGTCAATACCCAAGGTCCTGTTAAGACTACATTTGATTTAGTTGGTTTAATTTGCGTTGTCACATTAAAACTGATGGAACAATAGAATCAAGAATCAGATGATAGTGAAAGACAAATGTTGTGTTGCTGGGAGGAGCAGTCATGGGACTGTGAGAACTTAACTCCATCCTGTTAAATTTTGTTTATATCACATTCTGTCAGTCCTGCAAACCAAAGACATAGAACAAAGGTGACCTGACTAAATGAAAAATACAAGTTATAAATGACTACCAAACTGCACTCATAATTGGCTGAAAGTATAAAAACGACTCTGGCTGAACCTCTGAAATCTCAGAATTTACAAAAAAACCCCAAACATCATCATGTGCCCAATTGGCATTCACCACAGAGCATCACATAGGGCACCCATTTAGTTCACAAGTGAAACAGGTTCACAGTGAACAATGTGACAGGCATGAATAGGTCTAGATGGTGGCAGACCTGTCAGTTCTGATATTCTCTGCTGAATTCCAGTTGAGCCACATGATAATTGTGAGTGAGCAGTAAAAGAAATCGGCTCTAATGCCATTAATTGCCTAAATGTTTCTTTGTGTTGTTGCTCGGTCACTGTGAACTGAATAGCCATATGTGCTCCTCCACATAAAACTCAAAAACCTTACCATCCCCAATCAGCTCCATAGATAATTATATTTAGAGATCTGGAGTTTGTTTGTTTTTTTATTGTTGTAGTTGCCTAAATGTTTACATTTTGCATATCTGCAGTTTTGGGAAAGAAAAAGTGCTTCATGCCACAGTTTGAGTAAAGGCGAACAAATCAAACACACACAGAAATTAATCTGGAATTGATACTGTCGTGGTGAGTGTTGCTCCAGTGGTGTTGTAGTTTTGTGTTGATTGTATGAGAATGCAGTCATGGTCTGCTTGTAATTTATAAATCTAGACCAATCTTGCTGTGAAACTGTAAACACCATAAACATTAGATGCTGTGAAAATGAATGAATGAATTACGCAATGTTTTTGAAATACATGTATTAGATGCACAGAGTGAGAGCTTAGTTTTCATCTTGTTTAAATAACTTGTATCTTCGTCTTCCATCTACCATGCTTATCAATCGTCTCCAAAGCATTGTGCCATTATGTTTGTGTTGACTGTGCTTTTCTGTGCAAAGTGATATTAAATTCAGTTCAGTCATATTTATTTTGATGTAAAGCTTTGCTTTTACCTTAATCACACTGAAACCTGGAGCAGATTCAATGTGAGGATGAATATGTTTGCTGTAGGTGAATTTAATTTTTTTTTTAAATATGTTGGTTTAAATTCATCAACATCCCTTATTCATAACTGTCAGAATCCTGAAAACATGAGTTTGCTAGAGTAGCAACAATCTTTCATGGTAGCTAATCAATGAAAGACTTAGCTATAATTTTCTTGAATGTCTTACTTTACCCTTCAGCGCCCTAACAAGTACACACACAAGTTTTGTAGTTTATTATCGTTTAGACCCAGAGTTTACCCAGTTTCTGTCTGATCTTTGAGACTTTTTGTCTGAAAATTAAATTAATTTCTTGAAATATTTTTATATTATTGTAGGGTTTTTAGCCTTACTTCAGAAAGTTACTTGAGGCAACTGTTGTTGAGATTTGGCGTTATATAAATTGAATTGAGCTGAACCTAAATGAATATAGGAAAATCCACAATTGTCACAGGAACATACCTGCATTACAGTAATGATAAAAGCTTGTTTTCTAGTTTGGTGTCTTTGACTCCAGTAGGCATACATGTAGTATGCCTACTTTTGATTTGACTTGATGAAACAGTCCTTAAGATACGATGTGATGTCTGGCACCAGGATGTTTGCAAGAGATCCTTTACGTCCTGTACGTTGTGAGGTGAGGGCTTCATGAATTTAACTTATTTTGCCTAGCACATCCCACAGATCCTCATTTGGATTGAGATCTGGAGAATTTGGAGGTCAACACCTCAGTCCTCAAAGTTGTTCTCAAACCAATCCTGCACCGTTTTTGCATTTGCTTTATGCCAGGGCGCGTTATCTTGCTGAAGGAAGCCACAGCTGTCAGGGAACACCATTTCCATGAACGCATGTAGATGCTTTGCAGCAATGATTAGGTAGGTGGCACACACGGGGAAGAGAAAGTGTGGCTGATCAGACAAGATTACGTGTTTTTGTTGCTCCCTGCTCGAAGTTCTGTTGCTCGCATGCCCATTGTTGGCGGTGGACGGGCCGGCATGGGTCTGTGGTTATGCAGCCAACAAACTATGATGCACTGTGTATTTTTACACATTTCTATCAGACCTGACATTAAATTTTAAGTGATTTGAGCTACAATAACTCTTCTGTTGGATCAGACCACATGGGGCAGCTTACATTTCCAATGTGCCTCAGTGAGCCCTAGCCAACCATGACCCTGAACTAGTTCACCACTGTTCCTTTCTCTGACCATTTTTGATAGATACTGATCAACTTATTGTTGAATGCCTAGAGCCAATCCTAGATGCCGTAGAGCAAAAGGTGGGATACTTCCTCGTCGCAGGACTAACACAGAGAGACAGACAACCATTCCTTACTACGACCAATTTAGAGGCTTCAATTAACCTGGCCCCACAAACTGCATGCCTTTGGGCTGTGGGAGGAAGCTGGAGAACCAAGAGAAAAGCCACTCAGATGGGGAGAATATGCAATACATAAAGGTCCCAAGGAGATGGTGGATTTGAACCCAAGACCTGGCAATAGTGCTACTTTCTCACTGTGCTGGCCCTTACTAGTTTTTAAAATGATTTAAATACACTCTCATATCATATAATCTTAACACACAAAATATTACAAGGGGTCTTTTTTTTCTGACAAAACTAATCAAAAATAAAGAAGCAGTGTGTGGAAAAATAACTAAACCCCTGCTTACAAAGGAAATAATAGGATAAGTAACAGCCTGTAGTAATACTTCCATCTAGTAAATACACAGTAGGGAGTGTTCATCACTGCTACTTCTCTGGGCATCGGTACAGCTTGTATCTTTTCTTCCAATTGTTCTTCACTCTTTTCCCTTCTGAGAGTTGTAGTGCTTTGGTGAGAGCCACAATCTCTGGCGACTGATCTGAGGCTGGCTGTGTAATTTTTCCCTTTTCCGTTCCCTTTCTCTCCCCTGTAACAACATCAGTCTGTATACAAGGTGAGATCCAGATGCTCCAGTGGTTCAGTTCGTAGATCTGATGTAGATGCAGGTAATTCTTCATAGTCTATTTCATCCTGTATGTCATAATTATCCCTCTGGCTTCTGAGTATCACTGGTGAACCATATGACCAATCTTAGTCACTCATCCTCTCATTTCCTCTGGGCTGCTGAACTCCAATTGAAATCTCCTGATGTGGAGGAATCGGCATAGACCAGGGCCTCAACGACCATGTGCCCTCCTTACCTGAGATCTGTGGTTACATCCTCTTTGGCAGTCATATTGGGCCAATCTGTCATTAACTTATTTAATCTCTTGGTCCCCTCCTTCAAAAAGGACCACCTTCTCTCTTCCTCACACTGTTCACCAGCATCCTGTTGTTTTCCTCCCTCTGCATCAGGTTCTCCCATAGGTGTGACATCTATCATCCCTGAATTCAACTACTGCCTGAACTGTAGACCAGCGTTCCCATGTGTGCTGTAATATTTTGGCAAACTCACACAATCAGGTAATTCTGGGTAAAGTTTGGGTACAGTACAAACTCCAGGTCTTGTAGTCAGCAGTCCAGTTCTTTGTTATGTGGTCTTCACCTTGAAACTTGTAGTCTGGATTTTTACTTAGTCCAGTAGCACATAT